CTCTGGTGAAATTCAGTATGGTTCCGACAAGTTTTATGTTAATGTACAATCCTTAATATGTTTTTTTAGGTAAACAGCTGAAAAAAAACGTTGTTGTTTGCATAACTCAGTTACCTTTTTGAAGAAGTAACTATATAATTAATTGCCCAATGTTGGTCATTATTTACTGTATTTGCAGACAGAGTTACAGACTCTCTCCCAGACCACAGACTCATAATACAAGTCAGAGCTTTATTAAAGAAAGTTGTGTTTTCAAAATTGGAGTTGAAGTTATTTTTCCTTCCAATAGTGTTAACATGCTACACAGGAACAAGATTTTTTTTACATTTTCATTGTAAGTGGGCTAAAGCCGTTAATTAAAAGTAGTCTAACATAAATGCTGTAATTTGATTACTTTAATAAACCATGCAACTTGGATTGGATGCTGACGTGACCACAGTGCACACGTCTGCTGTTGCTCACAGTGGTCCAAGGGACGCTCAGGGAGTTTGTGTGTTCACACAGACACGTGAAACATTAGAGGGAAAATCGCTGTTAAGTAAGTAGTTTAGTTAAGTTAAGTAGCATTTTGCAGGACGTAGCTGGTTAACTACCTGAGACAGAGAGGAGAATGTGACAGGCTCAGACCAAAAGACAGCTGAGCACAAGGGCGAAACAGAGGAATCTATGGTAGAAGTAGAAAAGGATAGGTCTTCACATATCCTTTGGCAGAACCTTTGACAGGTGTGCAGGATCATATTGCGTGCATATAGCTCTCAGGAGACTTGTCTTTGCAATCTGTGCATATGTTTCATTTTGAACAACCTTTGTCCTGTATAGTGTGTTCTGTGGAGAATTTTGTATTATATATGTTGTAAGTTGGTGGCTTTTAGTCATTTTTAAAGTGTTTCAGCATATTTGTGTCCAGACATTTTGATCTGGACTTTGATGGAGAAATAATTTATTCTATTTATCAGTGCAAGTGTATCATTGGCTTACTGTCTAGCCTAGATAAAGCCCATTAGGTCATAATGTACTATGAATGGAGTGGGTTTTTTCTAATCTTCTGCCAAGGACTATTTTAAGGTCTACCTATGGGAGTGTAGGATCTTTGCCTGACTAATGATGGTAGCATTCATGTTTGGAGACCTGAGGATTGAATGTGATTCTTAACATGCTGACTGTGGTGCAGAAAATGCTTCAGGTGTGATCAAGTACAAAAATTGGGAGTTTGGGAAGTCCAGGATCATCTTCAATCTACTCTATGTATACTATCCTGTCTTTTCAGCATGGGAATGAGCCATGATGATGACCATGCCACCTGCATTGGCTATTCCCATATAATGTCTGGTGAGTGGGTGAAAGGAAGAAATCCCAGTGATCTTTCCTGGTCGTCCTGCAGTCGCAATGACCTGGAGAATTTCCTCAGGTACAAAACACAAGTTGGAAAGTCTCTCTTCTCGAGTTACTGTTGTTTGTTTACATAGCTAGCTAAAGTCTTTGCCAAGGAATAGTGTCTTGTCTAAAAAGTCAAGTTACAATGAAAATAAAAAAAGCATGCATTGTGGATGTTGATATCATCAATTACCACCTATATCTCTTTTCAAAAGAAAAACTAATTCTGTTTAAATATCCCTGCTGTAAATGCCTCTTGTGAATGGGACAATAAAAAGAGAATTTTTTTGAAGTAAAATTGTTTATTGTTAGCAAACCTGATCAATGTCTCTTTTTGGTATTTCAAACAGATCAAAAACCAGCTCCTGCCTCCTTCACACAGACCTCAGGAGGCGTTACCAGGTCCAGCTGCCCCCCAAGCTGCCCGGCATGCACTACAGTGTGGTTGAGCAGTGCCAGATCCTGTTTGGAACCAATGCAACCTTCTGCAGTGAAATGGAGGTACCATCCCATTGCACCTGTGTATAATATTTGATATATTAGGCAGCTTTTACTAAAGGAGGGATTTTAAAATTTCAGAAATCTTCCCATAAATAGCAAAATAGTGTAATGGTTTTAACTCTTCAGAAAGTACTATTCTGACGATTCTCATAATAAAAATAAGACACCTTGTCCCACGCTTCCCGTTTTGTGCTTTTGGATGAAGCAATAACAAGCCGCCATCCTTTTAAATGAAGTTAACCAGGGGAGTTTTCTTTGTGCTTGGATACAGCATTCTCTCACAGTGAAAATTTAGATTTTGTCTATGAGTTATAGCAGGAGAACTAACTGTCACAATCAGTGATGATCCTCAGTTTGACATAGAAGTTAATGGAAAAATTTCAGATCCATGACAGAACAGCATATGAGCATTCATAAGCTGAGAATACAGAAGATTTGGGGGGTGATCTAAGAGAAACAGCACAGTAGGTGGTCCAGAGGATAGCGAAATATAGTTATGTTTCTCCTCTGTATGAATTAAGTTCTGCAACATTTTGAGCACACCTCA